ATATTAACCTTGCTTTTTCCCCGATCTTAACAAAATTATTTAAGCGCTGCTTGAAAGATAAATCCTCCCCAAGTCTGTGAAGATATAAAGCGTATGATTAGTTTTCAAGAATATCTGTGAGTGTGAAACTATTGGAAAGGCTCTAGTAAATTGAAAAAAAAAAATTCCGATAGACTGAAGATATACCGATGACCAAACGAGGGAAAATGAAAGAAAAGGATATTTGTTTTTATTTTGTTTTATTTTAACTACCCTCTTCTGTTTTTTTTTTATTGGAAAAAACAAAACAAAACAAAACAAAAGACCACGCCTAGCCCCTGAGGGACGGATTTGGTCAGCTGACCAAAGAGAAGAATGCCCAGAGTAATTTTAGAGAAGGCGGAAGACTTTCGACACTCCTCGAGCAGTAATGGTGAGAGGTACTCTCACAAAGTAAGAAGGAGAAGGCCCAAGAAGAATTCCAAGGAGTGAGGAGGAGCTCCCTCATATATGGACATTTCCAGGGAGAGCCGTGATTGGTTGTTTGGGAAGCGCTGGTATACCCAGAGCACATATGTTCTACCCCAGCCCTTGCGCATGCGTCCATAAAAACAGATAGATGCAGAGACAGTGACGGCAATTAGCGGAATGCAATTGCAACAGGTAGTTCTTCGAGGCCCAAGCGATCGATGGAGCCATTCCACAAGGGTCGCCTTTCGGTCCTACCATTTTTCTAATTTACATTAATGAGCTGGCAAATAATATATTCTGATCATCCCTGAATATCTAAGCTGATGATACAACAGTATATGGATACACCTCCAAAATTCTTGGTGATCAGATCTTGGCAGCTTATCCCTCGTCTTTGTCAACTTTACCTGCTCACAGAAGGAAAACGGCAGGTCCTATTCAATGAATCGAGAAATAAACTAGTGAATTTCCATCATCGCCGAATGGACCCAGAATTTTTACCGATCGCGATGAACGGGATTGCCCTCAACGAGGCCCCGTGTCATGGTCGCCTATTGGGACTTAAGCTCAAACCAGATCTCTATCTACAGTAGAATGAACTCTTCCTCCTTCATAAATACTAACCTGCGAGACTTCCTAAGAAGGCAATCGACACGCGGTCTCTGACTGTCTGCGACTTCTGTCGAACTCTCTGCTTTGGCAGAGAGGAACCCGGACGAAGGTTTGCCGAAGGGCAAAGTTTCGTCCGGGGAGGTAGGCAAATCCCGAACCCGCTTATGCGGGTTCTAAGGGAATATTTTTGGCCGAGTCTACGGGCTCGGAGAACCGACGGTAAATTCGGTCTCATGCCACATACATCCCTCGTGGGGGGACTGTTAAATATTGGCAGTTGGGATTGGCAGTGTAACCTGACAGTTCGGATGGACACTTCTATCTGCTGACTAATAACACTCTTATATTGTATATATGTTTTATTATTTCAATACACTTGTTCAACCTACCTTCTACTTTCCGTGTCTTACTTTCGGGGCCCTAACAGGCGCAACACTTTCAAACCACCATCTTTAGTAGTTGGTTTGCTGTGAAACCCTTTCTTACTTTGAGAGAAATTCCTTCATATTTTTTAGACAAAAACTTTGTCTCCGTATCTATACTGACGACACTGTTAGACATTTTGATGGTTGTCTTCGAGTATAGAATCCAGAGGTTGGCAGGGAATATTTCGGAGACAGTAGGAAAGCGTAGTGCAGGTTCGCAGTGGATATCGCAGCAAGGTAGCAGAGCGTAGTTCTTCCGTCTGTCCTGTTCGCCGGACAAGTTGCTTCTGGTCATTCCGGTAGGAAAACAAAGATGGCCGCCTTTATACACGACGGATACAGTGTTGTGCGGCTTCTGATTGGTCAACCTTCTATTGGTCGACTATAAAGGGAAATAAGTCATTTTGACTCGTTCACTAGTTATATACGGTATATACCCAAAAAACCGTAACAGACACAACTGTTCATACCTGTTTTAATAGTTAGTCTGATCGGTTCGATAAGGTCAAATTAGCAGCTCAGATCAAAAATGATCTACCATCTGTTGTTAAATGACTAAGGAAAGATGTTTCACTCTATCGTGTTAGATAATTTTTCTTGCCAAAATCTATCTTACATATTTATAAGACTTGAGTCCATGCATTGAATATTGCTGCCACATCTCTAGTGATTCTGCTGTGTATTTAGAGATACAGGATAGAATAGAAAGAAGAATCTGCAATGTTATTGGTTTTGACCTGGCATCTCAGCTTCAGTGACTTACGCAGCGGCGTAACATAACTTTCCTGTGCCTTTTCTAGAAATATTTTAAAGGTAATTTTTCGGATGAATTTTATGAGTTTAAGCTCAGTGCTAGATTGGCGGCAAGGTCTCCTCATTTTACAGTTTAAATGGTTGGATGTAAACGTATTTTCTATGCTAACAGTTTCTGCTCACGTACAACTCACTGGCTGTAATTCTCATCCGGATTCTCTCTGACGAGTCATCTTTTATATTAAAAAAATTTAAATGCACCGCCAATCACCATCTTCTTTCTTCCTCAATCCTGTTCTTTTATTGTCCTTTCTCCTTATTAAATTTTTATTATTTACTTTGACTGCTGGCGTTTTACTGGCATTATCGCCTTGCTTGGAACGAAATGGTTAAAAAACATAAAACATGCAACTCGAAGAGAAAATAATGATATAATCAAGATGTTGACATTCCACACTACTTCAAAGAAAAGGTTAGGAAGGAAACTTCCATCAATACTAAAACGAGCCATAACAGCTATTGGACTTGAGAAGCCTGTTTGCCTAAAAAACTTGTTTTAAGAGAAAGAATTTATAAATTTCAGCAAAAAGAAAAAAAATAATGATATAATCAAGATGTTGATATTCCATATGACTTCATACAAAAGGTTAGGAAAGAAACTTCCACAAGTACTGGAAAGAGCGCTAAAAGCTACTGGACTTGAGAAACCTGTTTTTCTAAAAAAAAGTCTTTTAAGAGAGAGACTTCATAAATTTCAACCAAAAGAGAAAATAATGATATAATCAAGATGTTGATATTCCACACGACCTTCAAATAAAAGGTTAGGAAGGAAACCTCCGTCAATACTGGAAAGAGCGATAAAAGCTACTGGACTTGAGAAACATGTTTTTCTCAAAAAAAGTCTTTTAAGAGAGAGATTTCATAAATTTCAACAGAAAGAGAAAATAATGACATAATCAAGCTGTTGACATTCCACACTACTTCAAACAAAAGGTTAGGAAGGAAACACCCATGAATAATGGAAAGAGTGATAACAGTTAATGGACTTGAGAAAAGTATTTCCCTGAAAAAAGATGCCTTCAGAGTAAGATTCTATAAATTTCAATTGACAGTAGCAGCAGCTTTTTGGTCAATGAATGCCGAATATTTCCTTATAAGGAAACGTCTACTATTACTATTATTAATGATGAGGGTGGAAGATACGAAACTTGTTACTTACTCGTCCTGCCACGGTAACGGGATATGACACAAAACGATACAAGATGGTGATTGATGTTGCATTTAAATTTTTAGAAATTGTAGTTATCAGGGAAGCAAGAAATCGGAAGGGAGATCCACTGTCGGGATGTGCGGGAGAAGAAGCTCTTGGAATAGAAGTGGCGGTTTCAACACTAAAAGGGTGGGACCTAGATGCCAATCTAGTTGCACACTTAAACTCACACACTCCGGGCACCAGGAAAAAAGCGTGTCAGAGCAGTTGCCATGAAAATATGCACATGGTCTAAAAATAGAAATCGATTACACCCAATCACACCAATGGGTCTAAAACTGACCGTACGGTGAAAGAAAGGAAACTAAAGCGGTTGTTTCAATTAATTTGTTCAAGATTATAGACTTGAACAGGTTAAAATTTGTAGAGATCGGGGAAAGATGCTCTTGAGAGTCGGTTACAAAGGGCAATGGTTCACACGATGAAGATGTTCGAGTAGAAAGTTAGTTCGTACCAATTAAAAACCGTGGGAATGTGGATGGTTTGCTATAATGTGAATGGTATTGTGGTTTCTAACCGTGAAGGTTTAGAACTGAAGGTACGAGGGAGTGTAGCGCGTCAGAACATTGTCAGTTTCCCTCTTGAGGTGAAATGAGTGAGGTATTACCGCTATTGCCCGCGGCCGGGCATCTCTCAATAATATTTTCCGTTGCGTTCTCCCGAAGACAAAGTCACAGATGATATGCGGTCTGTCCGAAGACAAAGCCACAACTAAATTCCCTCCTGTCCGAAGACAAAGTCACAATCGAGATGAGTTCTGTCCGAAGATAAAGTCACAAATGATTTGCGGTTTGCCAGAAGACAAAGTCATTACTGAGTTGCGTTCTGTCCGAAGAAAAAGCCACAACTGAGTTGTGGTCTGACCGAAGACAAAGTCACAACTGAGTTGCCTTCTGTCCGAAGACAGAGATACAATTGATAGGTAAAATGTATATTATGCCCTATAGCAGATACTACGCATTGATCCCAGCCAGATGTCCCGGGTTAGAAGAAATACCTAACTTTAGTTGCTTTTACTTTTCGGTCAATGAATATGCTGAATGTTTCTAATATTAATATAGCATAAACTCGCTCTCTCTTACTTCGCTTGAAGCGTTATCTAAACCACAACCTTCAAATAATAAATTAATAAAATGGTTTGGTGTGAATTCTTTTTAACGAAAATCTTCAAATCTTTGTTGAAAGACTGATTTGCGCAACCGATTGCAAATTTCTGGAATGGCATGCCTTGAATATTCCTCGTTTCCGTTAATGTCCCCAAAATGTAGAATTTATATTCGTTGTACTCTCAGCCTCATTGTCATCCTTCGTTCGTACAAATCTACAATTCAAAATTCCCCAATAAATCAAACCCAGGAGATCTGTTAAAATTAAATTTTTCTTGAATATGTGAGAAATATTTTTATTTACGAAATAAAATATCAATAAATTCTTTTCTCTCGTCATCGAAATACGGTAAAAATGTCAAGCAGAAACCTAACTCGTCAATTTTATTCTGGACAATTTGAATGTGCTGAACTAAGTTTAAGGAAGACATATGAATGAGCAAAAAATGAAATAAATAAAGAAAGAAATATAGAAGGAGATTTAATAAAGCAAGTTGAAGTAAAATTTAAAAAAATGTGTGAGAGAGAGAGAGAGAGAGAGAAAAAGAGAGAAGGAGAAAAAATAAGCAAGGATGGAAGAAGAAATTCAGAATGAGGGAGAAAGGAAAGGACAAATCGTGTGACGAAGAGAGGGATGAAAATAGGGAAAGAAAGAGAAAGGAAAGGACATAAAAGAAACATAAGGAAAATGCAGGAGGGAAAAAGAGAGATAGGAAGAAACGGGGAGAGAAAGCGAGCGAATAAGAAAAAAGAGGAAGTAAGCAAGAAGGGGAAGAAAAAAGTAGCAAAGAAAGGAAGGGTGGAAAAATAGAGATAGGAATGGCGGGAAAAGAAAGAGACAGAAAGAATGAGAAGGAAGAGGGGGAAGAAGTAGAGAGGAAGAAAAAGTGAGGGATGGATGAAGCGAATGAGGAATAAATAGAGAGGATTCATGGATGAAGAACGAAAAGGAAGGAAGAAGGAGGGAGGGAGGAAGAAAGTGAGAGAAAAGGGGCGTGTGAGAGAAGGAGAAAACAGATAGAGAGATTGAATAGACGAAAGAGAGGGAATAGGGAAGGAAAAAAGGAGGGGGAAGTTGAAAGAAAGAAAGAGAATGTGAGTTGGGGAAACGAGAGAGGTTTTATATAAAAAGGCTTTGCATTAAAAGATTTGTATCGTCGTGTTTACTACCTGGGAAAGAAAAAATTCTTTCTGGAATGTGTGAATGTGTGTCTGTTGGGAGTTTGGTAGCAATTCCTCGTTTATACATGTTTGATTAAAGAAAACTGACAAGTTGCTGCGACTAAGCATTTTATTTAATTTTTCTTGCATTCGTTCAAGTGTTATTTTTTTTTCTAACATAGTGCGTAAAACTGTACAAATCTTCTATATATCCGGGAACTTTCGGCTATTCTACTCGCCATTATCGAGTATAATTTCATTTTTAATTAAATAAGTAGATTTTTATATATGTGTATCTATAATGATGGGAAAATTTTGTTATCTTACAAAAAGGTCAGCACTTTGTGGCCTTTAGTTGATATTATTGAGTGTTGGATTTTTCTTTTTCTTCTTAATACTTCCGATATTTTAGATGTTTTACATGTGGATGAGGCTAATAAAAAATGAATAAAAAGCCTAATCGCTGTAACTTGGCAGTCGTATTTAATAGAACACACACACACATACATACACATACATATATATATATATATATATATATATATATATATATATATATATATAGATAGATAGATAGATAGATAGATAGATAGATAAAACTAGTGAGCCAGACAAACCTACCCAGGTTTTTACTTAAGCGGATCGTCAGGCCAGCTTTCCTGACGATCTGCTTTGAGGTGAAACTCAACTAGGTGTTTGTCTGTCTGCTCTACGGTTGTGTTGAGCTCTTTTGTTTGTTAGTTGTTTACTCGTATCAGGGGTTTTTCTTTGGGCTTTAAACCTGTATCTGTGCGATTTTTCGACAGACTTTCATGTTTCTAGCTTTTTCTTTTTTTAAAACCTTTTTTTCCTTCGAGATAGATTTGATTATTGGCAAATCAAAAAGTCATGGTTTTTTGGAAACGAGTATAGTTACCTATATATATATATATATGATAAAAAGAAAGAACAGTAAGATATATATCCGGTGTTCTTATTGATATTTTTATTTTTACAAAACAGTGCTCAAAGCAAATGTACAGAGCATAAATATTATAAATTAACTGATTTAAAATATGGTTTTTCGCCATGGTAATTCCTGTGTAGCGAAGAAACCATATTTTAAATCAGTTAATTTATAATATATTAAACATCTTCCACTCACCTCTCCTAAACTACTCTCTGTTAAGGTTTAATCTCCCTCCTTCTCTCGTCTGTTACCCCTCTCTTTAGCTCTAACATTCGTCCCACACTCTCATACTTAAACTCTCTCTAAATTATATTTTTATTACCGGAGATGTTTTTTCTGTTTTCTTTTTGAATTTGTAGGTCTGATGAATTGGATCGTATTTACGATTCCAATGGAATAAATTATAACCATGGAATATTAGTGTTTAAGCCTTTTCATTATATCCTTACTCTGTCCTGGATATTGAGTTCTACCTGGATTCTATCCTCTTGAAATTTTTTATTCAAAAAATATATATGTATGTGTATGCACCTATGTATATATATTTATATATTTTGCATATGTATGTGTATATATACCATTATAATTAGCTATATATATATATATATATATATATATATATATATATATATATATTAACATTTTTAAACATTTGAATTACTATCAAACGTTAAAATCTGCTTTTATCTAAATTGCTAAAGTTATATCACCCCTCTCCTTGTTCCCAAAACCCTACGTATCTCTTTACCTCCCCCTTTTTTCTTTCTCCTTTTTTTCTTTTTCCCTTTTTTCTTCTTCTTTCTTTCTTGCTTTTTCTATATCATTTCCGTTATGTTGACCGATTAATCAGCTCAATGTCTGATCCTTACCCACCCCCTTCCTCAATATTAATTATTGTAATAAAAAGAAATATAAAGATAAATTTTAAACTCTCCCTTCCCTCTCTAAGCTCGACCATGTCTCTCACACCATTACTCATCACCCTCTAATTCAACTTATATAAGGCTAATATTGCCCGTAAAAAGTGTAAATTTTAAATTCAGTTTTTCGTTTCGTCTTTGAAAGTAGAGTCTGAGGTTCCAGAGAAAAAGTAAAATTCTCTGCTGAAATAAATTATTACTATGGAGCTTTAAAGTGGTCTTTTTTTCTTTTAAATTAATATATATATATATATATATATATATATATATATATATATATATATATATATAAAATAATAAAAAAGTAAAAGTTTTGTCACTTAGGGGATTGATGTTAGCTTCAGCATCCCGACTCCAGAGTTTGGTAGACGGACGCTCCGGGAACCAACCCCTCTAATTGTCAAGGATGTATATATGGAAAAAAGTTGAAAATTAAACTTGAGTCTTTAAGAATAGTTATTTAGAGTAACTTTACCGTTTTCACTCTTCCATAATTTTTAGAAGTTAAATTGAAATGGATAGTAATGTAGCTATGCCTTGATATGTCTCTCGTTTTGACCACCCCTGTTGGACGGCTCAGAATCGTGGACACTATGTAAGTCCCATATCAATCAACTGTATGTTTTCCACAAAAGTTGTCTCCTTTTGACAATAGGGTGTCCAATGTTGATGTTATCGCAAAATGCAACATTAGTAGAATTGATTCTTTCCTGATGCAGTCGCAACTTTGCTGAGCTGCTCGTGAAGTAACGATGAGTGACGGCAGCTTGGCAGTGGGCGAAGGAGTGTTGGGCGGCCGTATCTCAGGTATAAAAGCAAGCTAAAAGTTAACCTCTCAGCTGTCAATATGCCCCATACTAACTTCGATCGAGTTGCCATGGATAGAAATAAATGGCGATATTTGTTCCCGAGTGCTATCAGAAATTTCAAAATCAGTCGTATTGACCGGCGAAAGAGACGAAAGACAACGGCGAAAAACGTCAGCAAATATTCCTGTTTCTATGTCCCGAGATCCTCGCTGTTGCCCAATATGTGGGCTTGTATGCAGGTCACTAGAGGGAATGAAGTGTCACATACGACACAAACATAAAAAGCTAAATCTGGTTGTCGGGTCTTCATACGTTAACATCGACGGGAAAATCCATCATTTTCACTCTAAACATATTTATTACATTTCTAATGAAATAAAACTGAACCATATTCAGATTATAAACGTTTTCTATTTGCATTTATAAATGTTTTCCTTATTATGTTACACATACACACACACACACACACACACACACACACACACACACATATATATATATATATATCACATAGAGTGATGGTGCTAATCAAACAGTGCTCGATGTAATATATGAACTATTAAGTAAGTCTTGTATGCAGATCACTTGCAGGAGAGAAGTGTCACATACGATACAAACATCAAAACTGAATGAGATTGTCGGATCATCATATCTCGAAATCGGTGTGGGGGGGGGCGATTGTCATACATATGCCTGCTTGATATATCAATCAATTAAATTGCTCTTTGAACAGAAAATCCTTTGTCTTTAAATAGATGAATCCGTTGTCTTTAAATAGAAAAAGCCTTTGACTTAAATAGACAAAATCTTTGTCTTTAAATAGACAAAATCTTTGTCTTTAAATTTTACTATGAAAGAGAAAGGTTATAATTTACATTAAAAATGAATCTGGATAAACGTATTTCAATAGATATGTATTTTTATGCCTGCATGCAATCATCAATTCATTTCTGTTGTTTAATAAGCTACGGTTATTTAAGTGTTTTAAAATAATTAATTTTTCAAAAATGTATAAATTGCATCTATCGCCTTTCCTATTAAAAATTTTGTTTTTGCTACAATAGGCTGCGTAATAATTGATGTATTACCATCATTCTTTAATTGCGAGAAATGTTTGGAGATGGCAGTTCTGTTCATGTATATTATATTGCCTAAAGTCATTCGATGATGATAGAAACAAAATTTCCAAAGGTTTTTAATAGAACTAAAATAAAATGTGACATCGTTACCAACATGTATGCACGCTCGGTATACAATATTATCAGTCAGACATTGGTCATTAAAGGGACAGATCGTGTTTTTTCGGTAATTGTATTTATCTTTTTTAACGTTGTCTTTGTTGAAATCTATTCATTTAGTATGATGTTGTTATATTGGGATATTGATTTATCGATGTTATTGATGCAGCTATATAACTGCTCTTTACGTTAGTTTTGTTTAAAATCTTCGTTAGTATTGCTGGGCGATTAAAATGTTTATGAATTAAATTTAGGAATAATTCTTACAATATTCATTTGGACATTATGATTAAAATTTTATCACTTCCTTTCTCAATCGGTCTATATTTCGTGGGATTGCCTTACGATTGAGTATTACACCATCATCTCCGGCCTCCGTAATGTCGAAAATAAATCTTAGTCGCCATAATTACAAGATTCCAACAATTTCCCTTGCCTCTGCAGAATCATATCATAATCCCATAGCAAAATTAAATTCTGTGTTATTTCTTTTGGTCCACAGATAAACATTATGGAATAGTATAGGCTTTTATGCCTGCTTTATGATTTTAATTTGCCGATCTCTAATAGGACAGTGTTTTTTTGCTAAATTTATAGCAGCTTATTCTCGGTGATGGCCGGGTAAAAGTCGCAAATATCGAATTGGATGAACGTGCATTTCTTCTTCCTTTTCATATTAGTAAACAATTGTTATAGTGGAACAAACCTATTCTATTGTTAATAGACTCTCCCACCTATAATAAGTAGAATTAGTGGGAGTCGATCAGTGGGTCGGTCAGTCAGTCGACTGGTTGATCGGTTGAACTCTCTGCCTTCGGGCGGGGAGGAACCCGAAGGAGGCTACGCCGAAGGGCGGATTCTCTTTCGGGGAGGTAGACCGACCCTGAACCCGTTTATACGGGTTCAATGGGGATATTTTTGGCCGAGCCCACGGGCTCGAAGATTCAACGTAAAAAGGCCTTGTGCCAGTTGACGCCCTCGTGGGTGGGGGTGACTGAATATCGTCGCTCAGTCAGTCGATGCCGGACGGCCGTTAGTCGGATACTAAACTATCAGCGACCACAACTGCGTCATTACCTATTATATAAAGTTCCTAACGTTTTGTACGTCGAACCTATTTTAGGACCGACTTAGTACAAATACAAGCCTCCACTGTGAAGCCACTCCATAAC